GTGATGTCAGCCCACAACTCTTCTGGTCTTCATTCTTTAAAGTGGAAATTAGAAAGTGTTTATTGTTGTAAAGAAAAAAGGAGATTATATGGACAAGACTACCAAGAGACTTTCTGTGGTATGCAGTATATTGATGGCAGATGGCAAGCTTCATGGTAAGCAGGTAAACGGTTTTGCCAGAATGGTTTGTGTTTTTCAGGATTATTTACAGTGCTTTTGTGCTTCCCTTATTCTTAAATTAATGATTTGTTTTCTTCCTGGCTTATGTCTGTTTCAAAGTTCTCTAGGCATTCAGGAATGCAAACTGTGCCAGCTCTGTGGCGCTGGGCTTACTATAGTTCTCACTTTTTCCTTGGTGATGCTGGCAATGCAAATAGGCTCAAATTGACACACTTCCAGTGAGGTTACTTGCCAGTCAGCTGGGAGAAGACATCATGTGCACATGCACAGTTACATTAGAAATTAGTGAGCACAAGTGAGCAGTCTATGATAGTCTCTGAACATGAATATCAGAATTTTTTTTTTTTTTTTCAAATTCTTAAATACTTTCCTTCCATGGTCATTCATTGACAGAGAAAGAGTTTCTGCCCTGCCAGCACTATATATAAACAACCCTGCAAAACAAAGGAATCAAATTTGTGAAAATGAAATGTATCACAACTTTTATAATTAGTATCAATAATGCACATTTCTGTTAATCCTATATTATTAGTTGACCCATATACACACCAGTGGGGTGCTGACATAGTGCTGTAGGCTAAGTACCAGACTTGCCAATCACTTCAAAGCCACCAGCTGCTACTCAGAAACCCTATACAGGGTCACTATATGTCAGAACCAGCTAGACAGCGCTTAACATCAACAACAATACAAACCAGAACTCATGTCATCTTTTCAGAATTTTCGTATGGGTTCTATTCTCCTTTGAATTTTCCTTTGAATTTTGTAAATGAGTAAAAAGAAGATCAAAGGAACTAAGTAACTTACCATATAGATAGCACAGTTTCTACACGTTGAATGTGAAGACCGTTGCCTTACATATAAATTATAAAAATGGGTGCAGAGGAAAGATATGGTACTGCTTTTAAAGCTGTAAATCTAGTCAATATGTTGCCACAGGTCAGTAAGCTCTTAATTATATCAGTGCTAATGTGATCAAACTCTACTTTCATCATGCTTTCATTTATCTTTCTTACTTATATGTGTTTAAGTTTAGACAGCATAACAACTACATGATTTTATTCTTAATA